GTTGGTCGAGGATGAGGCCACGCCTGCAGTTTAGAATCATTTGTTGTCGAGGTCGGCGAGTTTCGACTGGTCTCAGAGCGAGATGCTTAAGGCTTTACAGGCTGTTGGCCATCTTCCGCCAATACTCCCTCGCCCGATCTCGGTTTCGACGATTGCTCTGCCCCGACAGGTGCCTCGCGGGCGCGGTCGGGGTTCCCGTGGGAGAGGTAGTCCTCAGCCCCCACCGGAGGCACCCCTCAGGGCAAAACGCCCGAAGTGAGGGGCCTGCCTCTTCTTAGGGCGGTGCGTCAGGAGGTGGTCCATGACTGTGCCCACCCCCCTCTGCTCGGCTGCTCGTAAGACGGTTTATGGCCTTCGGGCTCCTTCGTACGGGAGGCAAGGTGGAGGGGATGGCCCCTAGTCGTTCTAACCCCACGACGTGTACATGGCTCCCCACGCTTTTAACTGGCGCCCGAAAAAAGTTCGCCCCTCAGGATCTAAGTTTGCATAATATTTTATCGTTTCGATGCCAAGCTGACGAGGGATCCGACGAGCATGTCTGTCTGTCTGTCTCCCCCTCAACATCAGCATCATCATGAGCGTCATAGTTATCATCATCATCATCATCATCATCATCATCATCATCATCATCATCATCATCATCAACATTATCATCATCATCATCATCAGCATCATCATCATCAGCAGCATGATTTATCATCACCACCATCATCATCCCCATCATCCTCATCCCCACCATTAATACAATTTCTCATCATCATAATCGTCATCCCTTGCCTCTTCTTGATGCTCGATAGTCGTAACAGTCGTTTGGTAGTGCTAGTGGTAGTGGTAGGAGCGGTAGTTTTAGTCGTAACACGGGACGTTTCAGAGATACTAAAGAAGCGGGAGGATGATGATGACAATGAGGCGGAAGAGGAGGATGAGGGGAGGAGGGCGAGGGGAAGAGGGATGGAGATGAGGATGAGGCGAAGGTGCGGAAGAGAGGTGACGGGGAGCAGAATGGGAGCGATGACGATAATGAGGCTGATGATGCGAAGGAGAAAAGGAGGACGAATAGGATGAGGAGCATCAGCAGGAACAGGGGTGTCCGCTCCCCCTCCTCTTCTTCATCCTCCTCTTCGTCCTCTTTCTCCTTCATTCTACCCCCCCTCTCCGCTCCTTCCGCCCTCCCTCCATCACTCCTGCCGCCATGTCCTTCACACCCATCTCACTTTCTTCTCCCTCTTCTCCTCGTCCCCGTCGTCGTGCCCCTCGTCCGTTCTCTTCCTCCACCACCCCCGCCCAGGAGCAGCTCTACCACCCGCAGTACTTCAAGACGATCGTGTGCCGGGACCTCCGGGGCAACGGCGGCGGCAAGGCCTCGCGGATGCGAAGGAGGAGGAAGAAGATGAGAAGGAGGAAGATGAGGACGAGGATGGGGATGAATATGTTGAGGAGGTGGAGGAGGAGGAGGAGCAGGATCACGATCTTGATGATGATGCCGATGATGTTGCTGCTGCTTACGACGACGATGGTGACCATGATGGCGGTGGTGGTGGTGGTGATGGCGGTGATGCGATGAGATGAGATGCGATGCGATGCGGTGCGGTGAGATGAGATGACGTGAGATGAGATGAGCAGCAGGATGAGGAGGTGGAGGAGCAGGCGGAGGAGGAGGAGGAGGAGGAGGAGGAGGAGGAGGAGAGTGGGGGGAGGCAGGGAGGGGCATGGGAAACAGGAAGAGCAGGAGGAGGTGGAATAGGAGGAGCAGGAGGAGGATGAGAAGGAGGAAGAATGAGCAGGAGGAGGAGGAGGAGGAGGAGAAGAAGGAGGAGGAGAAGAAGGAGGAGGGGGAGGAGGAGAAGGAGGAGGAGGAGGAGGAGGAGGAGGGGAAGCGGGAGGAGCAGGAGCAGGAGCAGGAGCAGGAGGAGCAGGAGGAGGAGGCGGCGGATGCGGAGCTTGAGGAGGACAAGGATCAGGAGCATGAGGAAAGGAGGTGGAGCGTGAGTGATTTTTTGTTTCACCGATCCTGCTTGTTCTTGTCTGCGAGCGTAGCCCGCGGGGAGTGGGGGGCAACGTGTTCCTCGTCCTCCTCCCTTGTTTGTTTACTTGCTTGTTTGTTTGCTTGTTTGTTTGTTTGTTTGTTTGGTTGTTAGGTTGTTTGTGCGTTTGCTGATGTTCGTTGTTGGTGTTGCTGCTGCTGCTGTTGTTGTTGTTGTTGTTGTTGACGTTGCTGTTGCTGTCGCTGTTGCTGCTGCTGCTGAAGCTGTTGTTGTTATTGTTGTTGTTGTTGTAGTTGTTGTTGTTGTTGTTGTCGTTGTCGTTGTCGTTGTCGTTGTCGTTGTCGTTGTTGTTGTTGCTGCTTTTGTTGGTTGAATTTTCATTCCTGAAGTATAGTTGTTGTTGATCCCCGTGACCGGACACCATTGTTTTCTGTTCAATTGAAGTGCTCCTCCCGAGGCTCGCACTTGGTTTTTGTAGGAACGAGTTGTCACCAAACTGTGCCCCTGGCCCCCAGTTTACAGCAACGCCGGCTCCAGCCTGATACTTCCTCACAATTTACTCCAACATCGCTCTCTCGCGCGGGGTGTCCTCACAAGTTATGCAGAAATCGCGCTCTCGCGTGGGATTTCCTCGCAATTCATTCAGACGCGGCGCCCTTGACACTCATGAGTTTCTCGCGATTTACTTGGGAATCGCGCTATCGTTCGAGCTTTCCTCGCGATTCTTGCAGTATTCACGCTTCAGCCACCCGCCTGCTCGACCTGGCCGCCTTCCCGACCCGCCCGTTAGGATCTACCCGCCCGATGGGCCCGTCTGGTTCTGCCACGTGTTTTCTGCTCCTAACACCCCTCCTGCTAATGCCGTGCTCCATCCTCCTCCATCCGCCTTCCATCCGTCCTGTCTTCCACTATATCAGGGGCTGCACCAACTACACGCGGCAGATAAGGAACAGACGCCCCCAGAGTGGTACGATCGAAGATGAAGAGGGCGGGTCCGGATGGTTTGGGATACACGTGTTGAATGGCACGCGAGCAGGTAAGAGCAAAACGTCTTAAGATGATTGTTGTTCTTGTTGTTGCTGTAGGGCGGGGTCCAACCACCCAGTTTTCGGCCGGATTATTTCCATTCTATTTTGCAGGGTGCGAGCCCCGAGGGGGCACTTCAATTTCGAAGACACAATGTGCACCGGTGAGTGGGGATCAACATTCGATGTTCTTAAAGAGTGAGAGTTCAACAGCAGCAACAACAATCCGCATCGCGGAACCTCACTTCAGCCACGCGCCCAGGGACAGTGAATGACCGTTCGGCAACATCACTCTGACAATCGTATGGGCAGTATTGTTTTTTCTCGCATTCCTGCGGCCAGTCAGTGAACTACCCCCCTTTCCCCGCACCTGCCCGACATGCCCACCCCTGTCGCATGTCGGTCGTGCAAGGCACGCTCTATCCTCCCCGAGCTCACTCCCCAGGCCTGTCCGCGGCACACGCTCTGCGCCTTCTACCACAGCCGCAACGAGAAGCGCACGTCCGCCGCCGCTGCGGGCTCTGGGTCGGGGAGCATGGGAGGGCAGCGCATGGACTCCGCGCGGGGGAGCCGTTGGGCTACTCGAGGAAGATTCCCCTCTGCACGGTTCAGAATGGCGGGGGCGTTCGTTAAGGAATGTGCCCATGAGGCTGCAGACCCTGGAGGATTCCTTATCTGATGAGGGCGGCGGTAACATCCATGGCCGATCCACTATTGAATTTCCACAGGCTTTCAGACCCTGGATTCCTCATCCAAGGGTTCCTTGTCCAATGCCCCCACCGTATTGCTGCTGGCCCTAGGCCATTGGCGCGAGCGTCTCGGTGCACCAGGGCCACGGTGGCCTTTCTGGGATCTCCATGGATTTGGATGTACCCTGTCTACCACGAGGCGGCAGCCCGTTGAGTGGTTCTCCCCTCGAGGCCGGGCTCTGGAGGAGGGGCTCTCGTTGGGATGCCGCTCCTGAGGCCCAGGTCGGGGAACCCATTTCGTGGCTGGGGCTCGCCGTGGCTTGAGAAGCCCTTTCGGTTCCGTATTCAGCGCTCCCTGTGTTAGTATTGTGGCTGTACCGTCTACCACCAGGCTGCGGGCCGTTTAGTTATTCGCCGCTCGAGGCTATCAGGCTGCCCCGCGCCACCAGCCACGCAGGAGCTCACGATGAGGCAGAGCTTGGTCAGGACGCCGAGGCATGACTGTCACGGTTCGGGATGCCAGAGGCCTGAAGTGGGGCGGTAGTTGCATTGCGGGGTCTTCCTGTGCCTGAAGCTTCTTGCGCAGATATTTGAGTCTCCCAATCTCCTGTGCCATCATCCTTTCACTGACCAGCCAGCCGCAGGTCGTGCGTATGCTCCCGGTACTTTCTGGCGGTGGGTAAGGTGACCCGGAGCTCCTGGGCACCCGTGCAGCCACTACTGTGTCTTCGCCTGCTGCGTCGTTCATTCTTCAGCCTTCGGCCAGCTGCAGGTCATGAGCAGGTTCTCGGTACTCCTGCTTTCGTGGGGTGGAGTCACCAGGACCTCCCAGGCGCCCGTGCGGCCACTGCCGTGCCCCCGCCCGCCGCGCCGTGCTGCCAGTCTCCTCTGCCCGCCGGCCGGCCGCAGGGTGCTCGCAGGATCTCTCGGCATGCCCGCTGCGGTGGGCGCAGGGGCCCGGAGGAGCTCCCGGGCGCCCCCGTGCGGCCACCGCCGTGCCTCCGCCCGCCGCGTCGTGCTGCCCTTCTGCGGCCCGCCGGCCCGCCGAGGGCCGTGCGAGGCGGCAGGGGCGGGGGGGCGCTGCGCCTCGAGCCGGCCGCGCGGCCACCGCCCGAGGTCCCCCGCGGACGACGTCGACTACACGCAGCCGCTGCCCGCCGAGGCCCCGCGCGCGGGCAGCCGCGCGCCCGCGCAGCTCACGCCCTTCGCTGCCCCCGAGTCGGCGGGGGGGGGGCAGCGCGGGGCTCGCTGCCGCCCCGCCGCCTCGCTTCGCTTCGGACTCGGTGGCTTTCAGTTCGGATTCGCTTCGGCGCTTCTGCTGGGCCAGTTTTTCCCCAAACAGCTTGCTGAACGGGGTGCTGTTGTGATAAAAACGAACTCCGGCCGAGGGAACGCGGAGCAAAGACATCCTCACAACAAATTTATGGTTTTGGCCGTTTCGCTTCAGACATCCTCACAACTCTCGTTTCTGAGTTGGCCGGGATTGGCCGTTTCGCTTGAGACATCCTCGA